GTACGCTGATGACACCCAGTTATATCACTCCTCCCCGGAACTCTCACCTGCCGTCCTGCAATGTGTCACTGCTTGCCTTTCTTCCATCTCTGACTGGATGTTCTCCCGCTTTCTGAAACTCAATCTCTCTAAAACTTGTCTTTCTTCCTCCTAATACTGATCCTCCTCTTTCCCTCTCCCTTCAAGTTTGTGGTACCCACATCAGTCCATCCTTGCAAGCGCGCTGTCTTGGCGTCATACTTGATTCTGGCCTCACATCCAGCATGTTGCCAAATCCTGTGGATTCCATCTTAAAAACATAGCTCGCATCCGCCCCTTTCTTGCACTAGATACTACCAAGGAGCTTGTCCATGCTCTAGTAATTTCTCGCATTGGATTATTGTAACCCTCTCCTTATTGGTTTTCCCAAAAGCCGTACTGCACCGCTACAGTCCATAATGAACGCTGCTGCCAGACTGATTTTCCTCTCTAGTCGATTCTCTCACACCTCACCCCTCTGCCAGTCCTTACATTGGCTTCATGTATGCTATAGGAGTCAATTCAAGGTATTAATTCACACCTATAAAGCACTTAACTCTAGCCCCTCTTATATCTCCTCACAGATCCAAAGATATGTCCCTTCTCGGTCTCTCCGCTCTGCCCTTGACCACCTCCTGTCCGTTGTCCACACCCGTACGGGCTACTCACGCTTGCAGGAATTCTCGCGGGCGGCTCCCTTCCTATGAAATAGCCTACCTACCGCCATCAGACTCTCCCCTAGTCTTGCATTTTTTTAGAAGTGCCTTAAAACCCATCTCTTCAGGAAAGCTTATGGCCTCCAAGACTAACCTCTGCCTCACATACCTGTCTCTTGCTCTCTCCTAAAGGGCAGCCCACCTTATTTGACTGCAAATTCCTGTCCTAATGTGTTTTACACCCCACCTCCTATAGAATGTAAGCTCGATTGAGCAGGGTCCTCTTCAACCTATTGTTCCCGTAAGTTTTTTGTAATTGTCCTATTTATAGTTAAATCCCCCTCTCACAATATTGTAAAGCGCTACGGAATCTGTTGGCGCTATATAAATGGCTATAATAATAATAATAACACACACCTTGACAGACACACACATAACATGACAGACACACACGACACATACACCATGACACAGACACATACACCATGACACAGACACACACACATACCTTGACAGACACACACATACCTTGACAGACACACACACACGACACATACACCATGACACAGACACATACACCATGACACAGACACATACACACACCATGACAGACACAGACACACACCATGACTGACAGACAGACACACACACCATGACAGACAGACACACACACAAACACTGACAGACTGAGACATAATATAGCTACCCATGGGCGACCGGACATGAGTCTTGCAGGGTAGACAGCTGGGTCAGGTTTGCTGGCGGCCGCAGGGGGAGCTGGCTCCTGGCTGTTCTGGCGGCTGCAGGGGGGAGCTGGCTGTGCTGGCTCTGGGGTGGGAGCAAATGTGCCCCGGAGTCTACCAGGCCTAGGACACCCAGTGCATAATGTCTAATTCACATGTTTCATTATAGCATTGTTAGGGCATTTGAGTGTGTAAGAAATTTGATAATCTGCACGCCCCAAAGGTCCAGACATCTCATGTAGAGGGCCACCATATTCCTGAGCCAACCTAGCCTCAAAAACACAGTATTCCTTAGTTAAGCACAGCATGGTTCACATGTTTAACCACACTGTAGTGGGAGCCAATATGCCCCAGAGAATACCAGGCCAAGGACATACAGTGCAAGTTGTTTAGTTCTATAGTTTAGTTTTTGCATTGTTCAGGTATTTGCGTATCTAAGTAAATCGATAGAATGAACGCTCAGACTGTACATGTCTTCAAAATAGAGGACCAACACATCCCCTACCCGGTCTCGGAGACACAGTAGCCATTATTTAATCTCAGCACTATTTAACAGATTAACCACTCAGTGGGGTGCACCAACATGTAATTGGGTCCACCCGGCCTAGGACACACAGAATATATAGCACAGTTTTAGTACTGAGCAGGAGTTTAAGAGTCTTGGGTATGTGGTTATCTGAATATCCCAAATGATAAGGTAGCTTAAGCAGCAGGCCAACGACTCCCTGAACCAACCCATTCTCGGACACACAGTATTACATGCACAGATAAGACACGTATCGGGTACCTAAAAGCCTTAGATGGCAATGTGAATATCCTAAATGTTTAAATATGTTATGTTGAAAGATTTTACGCTTGCTACCCTTAGCGAAGCAATGTTCAATGTATGCTTTAACTTACATTTTTATTTCCTCAACTATGCCTCCCAGCCCTACACAAAGTGCACACCTGTAACTGTGCTAACAAACTTTTGGAAATTATCAACTGAAGTCTAAAAGCTGCTCACAAACGAAGGGGACTGGAACAACACACAGGGATACCTCCCTTCGCCTGGTACACCAACAAACGAACCCACATGGACACAAAAGTAAAACCCAGCATACTCCGGGGGAATGAAGAGGACCACCCTCTCAACCCTACAGACACAACTCCACTCACTACGTGAGATTTGGATCCGCAAGACAGACCGAAAGGAGGTTTGTTTAATCATGGTCCAGAAAGGGTTAATAACTTCAATGTGTTCTGATAAAGCCCACATATTCACTCTATTTCTGCCTTTTGAGCTTTACTTCTCCTCTCCACTGATCCTTCCCGACCTTCACTCACTCACCAATTTGTCATCCCTGTGTAACGCAGATTCTCTCCAATATTCCATTTTGCCGTCAGCTCTCGGTTTTCTACTATTTCTCGTTTTGTACAATCTCTATCAAGCCAGAGCCATCATTCTTTTCCATGCTGCCTGCCCCCTCCCTCCACCTCTCCTGACTTGGCCTATCCCTCTCTCTCTCTTTTCCATTCTATGTTTGTCTTCACTCTTTTAATTGCTTTTTCAATCCCATTAATTCTAAGCTCAGGTACTTAGAGATGCAATAAATCAACGAGGAAGCAGCATAAGGTCTGTGCTTAGGAAGATAGCCGTGTAGGAATGAGAGACAGCCATGTATAGCAAAGTGATATTGTACAGGTAAAAACCTGGGAATTTTGAAATTATTCTTCATTTTGTGGCCTTGGAAAATACGATCTACAGAGAAGCCTTTAATGTAGGGAATGCCAACTTGATATTTTTCAGAGCAGCTACATTTGAAAGCGATACCAATTTTTAATGAAGGTGCATCAATGTCCACAGACATTTACCAAGACATCTAGTTCTGCACAGGGTACAAATGGGAATGATAAAACTATATAAAATAACTAAAATAGGTAATATGTCTGATAAGTGTCATTTTCAGTATCTCAATTTTAAAAAATATAAATAATAAGGTATATTATATTATCTGCTTGCTATTTTGACAGGAAGACCACGCTTTCAAGTCCCATAGTACACAGTGAGTGATGTCATTCCATGCATTAAAAACATAACAAAATGTTGTATGTATATTAAGGAGTAACTCACTGTAGAACACACAATATAGTAACATGCAGTGAAGGTGTGGGAGCCATGGACTATTCAGGTTCAAAGCAGTCATCAGCCTAAGTTCCCAGTTAACAAGCCTTTCTTCCCACTATCACCTGCGCTCTTATTGTTTCTTCCCCCACCCCCACTTTATTTCACTAACCTGCCCGCCTCATTATTTATTTTATTCTCTATTTTTCCATATTTATTTATTTTTTCTTTTTCAGATTCCAACACCAAAAATACTAGAATACTGTTTGCGTGATATGTCCAATGCTATGAAACATTGGTGCAAACCATGTAAATTACAGCTTCCAGATTACTTTTATCTTATTAATATTATTTTTGCCAACTTATTCCGCAGTGCTTTACAATATTATTAAAAGGGGGGGAAATTAAACAATACATGAGACATTACAAAACCAGTACAATCATGTAATATGTTGCCATAAGATTTAAGAAACCCTAGATCTACAAACCATGAAATATGAGAGGTATACAAGGATGAATCATATACTGCTGGAAACAGTGCCAAATCAAGGTCCGGGAGACATTTATAGATCACTCAATCTTCAGTTTTGCCTTTTATTATGATTTCTCTAGAACCAGTTGACAACATAACTTTCGTATTATACATGCCTTACCATCCCATATCATGCAACAGCCATGTCTAGCAAATTCAGATAGAGCAGTGGTTCTCAAACCAGTCCCCATGCCCCATCCTACCAGTCCAGGATTTAGGGATTACCCAGTTGTATCTAAGGTGTTTTTAAAAGAAAAATAAATAAATAAATAAAAACCCACAAAACAAACCACCTTAGACACAACTGGGTAATCCCTAAAACCTGGACTGGTAGGGCGTGTGAGGACTGGTTTGGGAACCACTGAGATAGAGGAAGAATGATGGGAAAATCAAAGAGCAGATTTGCAAAATTGTGCAAAAATGTTAGCATTATTCAAACTGGCGGCACCAATTCAGCCAGCAGATTTAGATTTCTTATAAAATTGTCACTTAGATTTGCCAAAATTTAAATTTACAACAATGTAGTTTAATTAGTATCCTAGAAAACTAATGTATGTTTTTGATGTTCCAAATTTCGAGTTTTAATTTTTTTTAGTTTTCACACATATTTACATTTGCACCAATGTGAGAAGTGGCTGTGGTTTCCAGAGAGAGCAAACAGGTAGACATACAGCTCAGTACAGCAACAGATATCTACATTTAATGGACAGCTGTGTATGTAGAATGCAGAGTGTCAAACAGGGAACACAAGACAAACAGAGACTATGATACCTCCTCCTCCTCCCAACAGGGACTTGTTAGCTGCAAAACAGAAATGGAAAGAGGGGCACGGGCGGAAAAAAGGGAGAGAGAAAGAGAGAGAGAAAAAAAAATATTAGAAACAGTCTCAATGATGATCACATTTTAAGAAAATGAAAAAAACAAAAAACAATAATATTGCAGCAGAGCTTCCCAGCACTGTAAGGGTTAAACAACCTTTTCCCATAAGAACTAGAATATCGCAATAATGCATCTCTTTACGGAATCTCTCTAAAATGGTGCAACATGTCAGTAGGTCTTTGTGATTGTGGCTACATGTTTCTGTCTCTCTCAGCTCATCTATCTACACCCCTCTCTCCCTTTCTCCTTCTTACTTTTCTCTTTTCTTGATGTCAAGGGAATAATTAGCGAGAGATCCCTTAGTCCCAGTACTTGAGGCCACATCGTTTGTTAGATGAATGCACAAGGCTAAGTAAGATAAAGTGACAAAGAGATTGGAGGAGGGTGTGTGTGTTGGGGGAGTGTGATGTTGGCAGGTGGGAAAGAACAGGGTATATTCCCTTGACGATTACCTAGCTCTTGGCATATAAACTTAATACATATGCAGCACCTGCCTTACAAGCTCATAAACATACAATGCTCACCAGCTCCATATTCTGCAGAGCTTACAGTTAAATAAATGGGCATTTCAATGTCTATCTTGCTGGCAGCTTGCTGTACATTAAATACAAAGGACTTTCCTAAGGGATCTAAGCTCTGCTAGACGAGGTATCACTCACTGCTTAAAAACCCAGAACCATTGCCTTTATTCAGGTTTTTTTTCTCCTAGTGCTCTACCTCAATTCTACCGTAGCCTTTCCATCTCAGATTAATTAGGTTCAGAAGAACAAGGGCCCTGTTTACATCATGTTTTGGGTATTGTAAAGACACACTGTAAATTATTACTATTTTAACAAAAGGTAATCTACTTCCCTGTCTGGCCTGTAATTTGCAACACCCAGAGTCCAATAAAAGTACAGATATTACTTTAAATAGTTGTTAGCAGAAGCTGCACTTCAGCAGCTCCTGGTTGGAAAGGCTGAGGGCTGAAGATGAACAATGCCATAATCTGCTGCTAGGCGTTTTAATAATTCCTAACCCTACGTGCTGACAAAGACTGAATCAAACACTGCTCATAGTTCTACATTGAGAACTGGCGTTGGACAATGGGCTCCACTTAAAGACGAATTGCCAAAAGACGCAAAAACACTCTGGAGTCCAATGCTTTGTAACGATATATTTAACATCCATAAGAAAAATGACTTCATTCTCTCTGAACTGCAACTTGGGTATAAGTACAGGGTATATAAAAGAATCTTGAATAAGCCTGACTTAGGAATAAAATACATGTAAGAGGAGTAATGTTAATGCTTCAGGATAGTGGTTATCTGAAAAGAGTACGGGTAGAATAAACATAAAATATGTAAAAGGCACACACGTGGACCCAATAAATAAATTAAATTAACATTAAAACATCTTGCATGTACTCTTAAAACCCAAACACCCTGACTAAGCCCACACTCGACAGTTACACGTAAACCCCCCCGGGACTCGTTCTCTTCTGTTATCTATCTTCTTTTCTTCTTTCTAACTCTACTTTCCTCTCCCACCTCTTTGAATAATACCGTTTGAGTTGGTCCAACAGCGACACAGGGACATTTGACAAACGTGGACAAATTTGGACCAGAGGTTCATAAAACAGAATGTGCACCGATGTTTGACACCAATAAGACCAAACTAATGGCTGGGCTTGTCTTTCAGATTGTTTTGCTTTTAAACACTATGTGTTGACGTTATTACAAATGTGTAGGTCACTACCAAAATAAAAGAAAGAATTTAAAAAAAGATGTTGCATGTATTTGCTTAGTTCCAGCACATGTGTGTGATCCCTGAATTAAATAATAAAACACAAACAGAATTTACATCACTATTACTAACTCGATATAACTGCTAGGGACAACCGCCTCTAGCTGAAGATAGCCACAGGTGCTGGCGTAAGAAAGGATGCTCATATCTCGTCCGTGTAGGGGAAAAAATATTAGAATTTTATTGCATTACATTTTAATTACTGTACAACTTAACCAGCACAAACCATACTTATGCCTGCAGGTACAATGGGGGTTGAGGATGCTTCCTGTGAAATGATAAAGTATCACAGTTACTTTTCATAAACTGCAGTAAAAGTCTAAATAGGTAGAGAGCCCTACAAACACAAAATAGGATCTGGCAACATCATGCTGTGATGGGATGGCTGTCAGTTTGAAGAACATCTCTGAGCATTGTCTCCATTCTGACAAAGGTGTGAAGCTAATGTTTGTCAATATTAGGACAGAGCTGTCACTTTAGCTTTTTGTGCACGCGCTAAGAGCTACAATGTATCTTGCTGTGCAATGTATTTATTTTTTAAATGATTACCAACGGCGTGGTATGTAAATTACATCAACCTCTATAATGCCACCAGTGAATATTGCACTAGAGAATGAATGCCTGAGGGCACATGCGCTTGCATG